AAAAAAAAAAAAAGAAAATAAATTGCAGATCTGGGTTTTAGGAAGACTTTTTATAAAAACTGTTTTTCTCGAGGTAAAATACACATATAAAATTTACTGTCTGTATCATTTCTAAGTATATAGTTCAGTGGTAATAAGTACGCTCTAGGCTTCCCACAGTGGTCCATGTTCTTTTTAATAATAAATATTTGTCAATATTTCATTGATACAATTTATCCTAAAGATGTCTATGGAGAGTCAATTTTTTGTTTTCAATTCTAGATCTCTGTTCCCGTTCCTCTAGCCTGGTGGTCACCCTTTGGCTTCTGCTAGGCAATTTATTTCCTTTGCTGGCTGGATTCCTTCTGTGTGTGTGGCACTAGGGATGGAAAAGTGAATTCTCAAGATACTCTTTTATGCCACGTTCCTGTGAACAAAGCACAAAGTGTGGGTGAGTGCCAACCTGTGCAGACGGCAGAAGTGGCATTCTTGACTTTGGCTTGGAAGTGTTGTCTACAATCAGACCTTGAAGCAAAGCAGTCACTCCTCATCAACAACCCATCCACCTCAAAGCTTAGAGAAGGAGAAGGAATTTCAAGTCACCAAGATTATGTATTTTTCAGGATATATAATCTTCCTGAGGTTTTCCTTTGTAACTGGGTAATTGGTGGGCCGGGCGCAGTGGCTCACGCCTGTAATCCTGTCACTCTGAGAGGCTGAGGCAGGGTGGATTGGCTGAGCTCAGGAGTTTGAGACCAGCCTGAGCCAGAGTGAGACCTCATCTTTAAAAAAAAAAAAAATAGCAGAGGGCGGTGCCTGTTGCTCAAAGGAGTAGGGCGCCAGCCCCATACACCAGAGGTTGTAGGTTCAAACTCAGCCCCGGCCAAAAACTGCACAAAGAAAAAAAAAATAGCTGAGGGCAGTGCCTGTGGCTCAGTGAGTAGGGTGCTGGCCCCATATACCGAGGGTGGCAGATTCAAACCCGGCCCTGGCCAAACTGCAACAACAACAAAACAGCTGGGCATTGTGGTGGGGGCCTGTAGTCCCAGCTGCTTGGGAGGCTGAGGCAAGAGTATCACCTAAGCCCAAGAGCTGGAGGTTGCTGTGAGCTATGATGCCATGGCACTCTACCGAGGGTGACAAAATAATACTCTGTCTCAAAAAATAAAATAAAATAAAGTGGGTAATTGGTGGAATTTTCATGGTGATTACATACCTCAGCATTTTCATTAACTTAAAACGAGAAGCAGCATCATAAATACTGCATTAACTTAAACAACAGCTAATTGTAAGGCTGCAAGTTATGTGGCGGCGCCTATGGCTCAGTGGGTAGGGTGCCAGCCCCATGTACCAAGGGTGGCATGTTCGAACCCGGCCCAAGCCAGCTAAAACAGCAATGACAACTGCAACAAAAAAAATAGCTGGGCACTGTAGCAGGCACCTATAGTGCCAGCTACATGGGCGGCTGAGGCAAGAGAATCACTTAAGCCCAGGAGTTTGAGGTTGCTGTAAGCTGTGATGCCAAGGCACTCTACCGAGGGTGACAAAGTGAGATTCTGTCTCAAAAAGAAAAAGACTCCAGTTGTGAATCTTGTCCTCAAAAGTATAAATTGTTGTTTGACTTATAGAAAATAATGAAATTGGGATTTCTGTGTCACTGTTACCTATTTTAAATTTAATGGGTTTACCTGGTACACTTAACTTATTGCTCTCATGCAAGGGTGTTTAACCTGTGGCCTATAGGCTGTATACAGATTATTTGAGAAATATTTTATCTGTGGTGTTGGATATCACAACAGGTATACACAGACCTTTTCGTTTGCTCATCAGCTTTCCTTGGTGTTTGTGTATTTAATGTGTGGCTCAAGATAATTCTTACTCTTCTAATTTTCAGCAGAAAAAAGGTTGGACACCCTTGTAAGAGTTTTATTTTTTAAAATTATGTTCTGTTAAATCTTGTGGTTTAACCATGCTTGCCTTTTTTGCCAGCTGTGTGGCAGTTTACTACTGAACTATTGTCAGTGTATTGTAGCCCTCTGTATTCACTGATCTTCAGAGCTCAGCTTCCAATTGTATTATCCACTAGTTTAGTAGTGACTTTAAAAAATAGGGAAGCAGAGAATAAAATATTCTGCCCTGTAAAATACTGAAGACATGCAAACAGAAGAAAACATAATTGTGTATTTTTGAAATAATAGTTATGACAACTGTAATCTGACAAAAACAGAACTATTCCTTTTTGAACAATGAAGATAAAAAATTCTAATTTAGGGCAGGTATGCAATTATTTTCAAATGGGCTAAGAAATTGTTACAGAAGAATTTCTAATAATGTGAAAATTATGTATACGCAGAAAAATATAAGTCAAAATGAGATGGTTTGAGTTGTTTACTAATAGCAAAGTATAGGTTTGGTGTAGAGCCTATCCACCACAAAACATAAGGCTCAGTCCACAGGAGTTGGAAGATTGCCTTTTTTAAATATCCTTTACCTTGTACATTTGACATGCCTCCTCTTACCACACAGATTCAGGTTCCCCAGAAGTAATTCTAGTCTGGTACCAGAGGTTAGCAACCTCATTTAGTAATTCCAGTTTGAAATTCTTTTATGATTGGTGATGCCCAATTTTTCCTCTTTAAAGCTAATGAAGTCCTAATGGCATTATAAATATAAACTTTGAACAAGCTCCCTCCCCTTTCCCCCTCCTTCTCTTCTTTCCATTCAGCATAGTTACTGTACTCCATTTAAGACACTGTGCTAAGTGAGCAAAGCAGTGTAATTACTAAGAATTAATCCTGGAGCCAGGCGTAGTGAATCACACATGTAGTTCCATCTACTTGGAGGCTGAGGTAGGAAGATGACTTGAGCCCAGGAGTTTGAAACCAACAATATAGAGAGATCCCATTTAAAAAAAAAAAAAAAAAGAATTCCAATTGACTATTGGCATTGGAGCCAAATAGCAGCCTCAACATAAGAAACACCGCTTTTTAAAAAAATGCATAAATTTGAAAGTACATATTTGCATGCAGTTTTAAATTGGAGGTTATTTGTCATTGTGAAAAATTGGGAATCTCAAACTTACTCATGAAATTGACTTCAACATAGGTGGTTGTTACAGAACCAGAAGTCTGAAATCCAAAATGCTCCAAAATCCAAAACTTTTTTAGCACCAACATAACACCACAAGTGAAAAATTCCACACATAAGTACTTAAATTTTGTTTCATATGAAATTATTAAAAATATCATATAATATTACCTTTGGGCTATGTGTGTAAGGTGTATATGAAACAAATGATGAATTTCATGTTTAAGGTTGGGTCTTATCCCCAAGATATTTCATTATATATATGCAAATATTCCAAAGTTCAAAAAATCTGTAATCCAAACACTTGTGGTCCCAAGCATTTCAGATAAAGGACACTTAGCCTATAGTAATGGTATATAGACCAGTGCTCAGATATTTGCCTATGTCAAACATACTGTAAATTGTTCAAGGTCAGAGAGAAATGAAGAGTGTATTTTTAAAGAATCTTATAATAATGTAAACTTTATACCTATTATAATAACAGATCATCCTGAGAAACTATATAAAGAATTTCACCAAAAATACAGTAGATTAATAATATACTTGAGATTGATGGTGATAGGTTCACTATATTTTGACTGTTGTGCAGTAATACCATTTAGGTAGTATTTTTTCCAGGCATGGTGCTTTTTATACTTGAAATATATTTTGCTTTATTTTTATTAATATAATTATATTTGCACTAATGACTTTCTGGAGAAAATATTATAGATGACCTTTTTTGTATATATATTTATTAAGCTTGGAATCTGGTAGGCCAGTGTTTTCTCTGCACAAATGTGAAACCTGAAGTATGTAAAAAAATCTTTAGTTCTTGAGGGTAACTAACTGCATTGATGTCTCCCTTCCTCTTCAGTAAGGCTTAAATGTGGTTACTTATCACTGATTCTACATAGTGTACTCAGCAGGACTGAGAAGGACACTGCATCTCTGAGAAATTATAGAAGTCTGGTTTTAATCACTTAGAATATGGCGGTGAAGCAAAGACTTTTAAAATCTGAGCTATCACAGCAGAATTTGAAATGGCCTACCTGTTCATATCCTGTGGCAGGTTATGCCCATCACCTTAGCAAGGGAGGACAACACCGGGCCGTGCTGGAGTGAGCAGGCTGCAGCCCTGATGGAAGTGAGGTGGAGCCGGGAAGGAGCATGAGGAGCCGCTGATTTGGGACAGTAGTTTGGAGTCCTGACTCAAAAAGGGTTAAGTGCTTGTAAAAACTGACTACCTCAGTTTTCTGGTTCAGATTTAGGTTCATTTTGATTGTTTTAAGGGCCCAATTGTCAAAAATACCAAGTGAATTTGTCTCAGGTTTTCAAGAACAGGATTTACAGGAAGGAAGTAAAAGCCATGTCAGTAACCTTAAGCTTTAAAAAGACTGGCAAGCAGTTAGTATTCTTAATGTAGATCCCACTAATACCCTCCTAAAACACATCTTTTTTCCTTCTTAAAATCAGTAACCCTTACATTTTTCCTATAGGATACTATTTAGGATACCAAATAGACATTCTGAAAATGCTATAAATTATGCTTAAAATTAGTTCTCAGCCTATATGTTTGGCTTAAAGTTTATTGATATTTGAAGTAGAAATACAATTTTATGGGATTTAAATAGTTTTGAGAAGATAAATAAATATTATCAGAGTAGTCCATAAACTTTTATCAATATTCTCATCAATTTTAGAAGACTTACTGATTAAGGCCATCTATCAAATGACCAGATTCTCAGAATCCTTCCAACTCTAATATCCCATAACTAACTACTAACCATCCAGAACTGCTTGGTCACTGCTGGCTCTGACCCACCTCCTGGAGGATGCCTTCTTACGTGTTGTATTCGTCACAGTGTCTTGTGCTTGATGCCTTATTGCTGTCCGTGAACTTGGGTGATGAATGGACAGAGAAGACTTCGTCTCCTTGGGAAACTGAGTAGTCTTAGCAAGAGGAGATGGGCTTCAATCATAGTCCCATAAGTCCCATATACCCATATCACAGTGGACATTAGTAATTCTTGACAAGTCTTTGCAGCCCAGGAAGACTAACATATTTTAATAAAGTCTGTGCATCTCATTCTGAAGAAAGAACTTACCTGAAAGGAAGAGTTGTTTGTTTTTTGACACATTGGGTCAGAGTTGGGGAGGGAGTGGTGAATTATTTTCTTTATGTTTACATTTTTAATAAGTAAAATAGAAGATGTAAGAATTAACCTTTATTTATGGTATTGAACTTTAAGTGTAATATATTCCTTAGAAAACACAACTTTAATAAAAATGGAAACTAATTTGCATCTTGTCTTTACTTAACACCATCAATTTTTTTTTAGAGACAGAGTCTCACTTTGTTGTCCTCGGTAGAATGCTGTGGCATCACAGCTCACAGCAACCTCCAGCTCTTGGGCTTAGGCGATTCTCCTGTCTCAGCCTCCTAAGTAGCTGGGACTACAGGTGTTCATCACAACGCCCAGCTATTTTTTTGTTGCAGTTTGGCCAGGACTGGGTTTGAACCTGCCACCCTCAGTATATGGGGCTGGCACCCTACTCATTGAGCCACAAGCACCACCCAACCCCATCAATTTTTTAAAACCTGGAT